ACTAGGTTGGAATTCCTGGGCTCGATCGTAGCGCCACCAGTGGGTATAACGAGTCATGTCTCTTCTATGCCTCTCCTATGGACCAATCAGATTCCACATCTCGTATCACTTGCATTTGCTTCGAACAAAATGGCGGCACCCAGTCAAGACGATCTAATCGATAATCAAGATCTATATTGTGATAAAATGGTTTTTACGTCGCGAAGTGCATCAAATCACGTGAGCACTTTAATTAAAAACATGAAAAGATTTGGAAAATATCTGTTTGACAACGAGTTGGCCTGGCACATGCTTTGCAAATCCTGTATTCGACCGGAATCTGCATGACAGTTTACGAACCGGATTTCGATTACGTTGCGTGATTGTGATTGGACTATGCATAGACTAGTTAGTCCAGCCAAAATGTAACTCCATAATACCAGCCTAGTTCGGCAAGGGTGGAAACTGGACTTTTATAGCCAGTTATGTCACTTGCCTCGGGGAGATGGCATTTTACAGCAATCTAACTTCCCGAAAAATTATATTAGCACTAAGACTATTGAAGTATTTCCTTCCACAAAGTACTTCCTTACAAGTAATACACAAACTTGACAATTTTCTTCAGGACTTGCTTCATTATTGTAATATAGAAGCGATAATACATTCTGGATTACAAAATCTTTATATGCATTTGGAAGTTGGATATAATTACAAGGACTATTCTGGATAACAACTTCTTTACTTACCCAAAGTTTCAGGGCTTCTTCTCGCCCCTTCAAAGGTGAGGTGAGGTGAGGTGAGGTAGGGTTTAACGTCGCGTCCAAGATTATTACACTTATATAGCGACGTGCATGCACGTGTGTGTGTGGCTGCTTGTACTAGTCCGGACTTATGGCGATTTATAGTGCAAGCCCACTGAGATACCATGCCGCAGTTTAACAAGAATACCCCACTCAGACACAGTATACTGACTCCGAGCCGACCAGTCCTTGTTTTAGCGCCAAACAGGGTAACAACAAATACTATCTTTTATAGTCTTTTGATATGAACCCCGGATCTTCCACTCTCCGGGTGGACGCTCTATCTCTTGACCACGGAGGCGGTCTATTACCGATTTGAAAATGATGGATGCATGTTGCTACTTTGTGCAGGACGTAGCGCCATCTTAAGATACATGAATATCAAGTTTCAGAGGATTTCACTGTCTACTACATCCTGGTTCTGATATACGCAGCAGCTCCTTGAAGAATAAATAACATACCAGGACAGACCCACAAGCAATTAATCACAGACCACAACCTGTAAATGCACGAGAAGCCCTCTTCGCTGATTACATACACTTTTCAATTGATATACACATTGTATTCAAGGAGAAGGGACACACAGGCTGTACAAAGTACTGTCTCAGAAAATGATATAAAATCAAATCATCCAACTGTTAAGTGAATTTTAATTTCAAATTTGATACTCATGACCGACCTTCAACAAATGAGCTCGTCACACTCGGCTGAAAGCTAAACAATGGGATACGGGTACTAATGTATGAAGGGATACACAGGCCTATGTAATCAGTCGCTGGAATATATGATTCTACTCCTAAGAACATGACATATCAATACAACTGACTTTGTTTGAAAGTATCTGATTATAACTGGCGTCATTTGTATATGTATGTGTCATATTCTCCAACCCTGTTTTTCTCTCCTAAAGAAGCCGTTATCCATAATATTCTTCGTCATAATGTCTGGATTATCTTTTGTTATAATATTCACTAAATCCGGAGAGTAACGACATGGCTTACACACACAAGTAGAAGGGTTTCTTACACCTGAGGGTGAGAAACCCTTGTGAGATTCAAGCGAATTCACCCAAGTCTGTCGAAACATTATGGTTTTAAAGCGTTTAATGAATGTTCTTTGACCACCACCGCCTTCATAATCCACAGATATGGATGAACTATGTTTGTAGAGGGTCATACGAGATATGCATGGTGAGCAGTTAGGCGAATGACGTTAGTTATGACTGTTGTGTTATGTATTATTGCCCACTGCGGTAATGGGATAAACAAAATATGTGTCGATTGGAGGCCAACATGGTGTGATTATAGGGTGTGTAAAAGCAATGCTGCACTCCTGCCTGTCAAACACCATTTATCTTACGACTCGTTGTTTCAAAACACATCAATACATTTTGATTTGTTTGTTTGTTTGTTTGTTGTTTAACGCCGCACTCAGCAATATTCCAGCTATATGACGGTGGTTGGTAAATAATCGAGTTTGGACCAGACAATCCAGTGATTTTATCATGAGCATCGATCTACGCAATTGAGATACGATGACATGCATAAATCAAGTCAGCGAACCTGACCACCTGATCCCGTTAGTCGCCTCTTGGGTTGATGAACACCATGTCTAACCCGGATCTTCACGGGACCTGTACGTTTTGAAAGAACTTGTTGTAGGATAAATGGTATTTGACAGACAGCCATGCATTAATCTCTATTTGTATGATGCCAATATTATTTTCATTTCAGGTCTAACGCTGAAGTCAGCTGCAGCAGCCTTGGTGACATTAACTTCTCCGAGTTTTAATTGTCCTGATAGATTCTCCAGTGATGTTCACAATTCAGAATACGGACTAAATAAAAATATTTCAGCAGTAAATAATCGTCTTTGTGTTGCACAGGTTTGTGAAATCATTTCTTTGTGGTCTCAATCGTTATACTGCTGGAATTGAGTTAGGGAGAAATGGGTTTTTAACGGTGCTTTTTTTAGGCGAACATTTGACTTGCCTTTGCATGTGTTTGTGACGGGTGCAACCGCCGGTGCAGGATACGCTCACCTTTTCGCGAACACCTGGCATCATTACCATTTCATAGTGATTCATAAACACATGCTCATGATATAGTCGGAATCGTACAATCGACCCAGCTTTATGCAGAGATTTCTACTGGATATGGAAAGCCCACTGAGATACCATGCCAGGGTTTAACATAGATACTTAACTCAGACACAGTATACTGACTCCGGGCCGGCCAGTCCTTGTATTGTCTATTAATGCCGAGTGCCAGAGTAACAACAAGTATAATATTTTATCATATATGAATTAATTAAAATAATTGACATATTCTTTATTATTATCGCATTCAGACCCGACCATTTTACATAGTCACACATAGTTCTGAATCACTAGATTGAAATTATCCAAATATGTTTTCAAAATTATTAGATCCATTTATGATTAATTTCATTGTGTAATAAGAAAACAAACGCCAAATAAATGGCTTTTCATGTGAATAAAATCCAAAGGCCGAATGTCAGAACCAATGAAAGACCCTATCATTAAATATTATTATTACGGATCAAAAGTGTTGGGTTTTTTTCTAGTTATTATACTGGGCGTTCAATAACTGGGCTAAACCCGCCCCCAAAAGGGGCATAATTGGCGACATTTGCGTCATCAGATTTGCTAAAATAAAGATGCTAAAGGTATTTCATTGACATGGTCGTTTAATCACTATTACAACACCAACAAACCCTTCATGCGCTTCTTCTGTGTACACGTGAGTGTTTCCTCCATGTTTCAAAAGCAGTTCCTTTTTTTAAATAGTTTTATTGATCAATAGGTTTGAAAAATAATTAAAACGCAATTTTTCACCTGTCGGCCTGAACATATTACAACTTATCATAATGGCCCAAGACGACGCGTCGTTTAATCACTATTACAACACCAACAAACCCTTCATGCGCTTCTTCTGTGTACACGTGAGTGTTTCCTCCATGTTTCAAAAGCAGTTCCTTTTTTTAAATAGTTTTATTGATCAATAGGTTTGAAAAATAATTAAAACGCAATTTTTCACCTGTCGGCCTGAACATATTACAACTTATCATAATGGCCCAAGACGACGCATCATCCCCCAAAGTGGCTTCAAAGTATATATCTGGATCTCAGAAAGTTGGCACTAAAGCATATCAACACACTTCTAATCCACTGTCTTTGTAAACCAATATTATTTACAGAATCTCATTACACTATTTATGAAGACTGAAGTTTGAAAAGACGTCTTTGCGATATTTCTCTATCAGCCTGTAACCCCATTTTGTTTGAACGACACAACCTGCCTGCGTCGGCGAGGATTTTTTTTCAAACTCTCTACTGAAGGGTAGCTGTTTCTATATTTGTATTGTATATCTCCCTATGGTTGAAACAAGGGGTTATGTCGTTAGGTAAGTTGCGTATCCTGATTGTAGGTTGGAATCCAAGAATCGACTCGATTGTAATGCTTGCCCTTTCAGCGTCAAACAGGAGTTCGCGTGGTTTCTCCCATCTTGGCGAGGCAAGGGAGTTAATTCACTATAAAAGTCCATTTTCCACCCTTGCCGAACTAAGTCGGAATTCCGGAGTTATATTTTGGCTGGACTAACGAGTCTATGGTCTATACACAGTCCAATCAAAATCGCGTGACGAACTAGACATCCGGTTCAACGTGCAGGATTTGCAAAGGATGTGTACCGCCAACTTGGGGCCGACAGATATTTTGCAAATCTTATCATGTTTTTATTAAAGGTGCTCAACTGACTTGACGCACTTCGCGAGGTAAGACCAGTTTTGTTACAATATAGATATTGATTATCGATCAGATCGTCTTGACAGGGCGCGGTCATTTTTGTTCGAGGCAAATGCAAGTTTTACGAGAGGTGGGACCTGATTAGTCATTTGGGGGGACATAGTCAGCTTACGCCTTTACCTCGGGAAGATGGGTTTAACCAAAGTGGTTAACCGTGGTTAATCTGTGTTATTGTGGATTGTCCCGCGCTGACATAGGATTTTATAAGCATGCCTCACTCTCGTTTCAGGGGAGGTGGGGTAGCCTGATGGGTGTAAGGGTACGCTCGTCACGTCGAAGGCCCTCGTTCGATTCCCTTCATGATTATAATGTGTGAAGTCCATATTTGGTGTCACCTCCCGCGATATTGCTGGACTATTGGAAAAGGCGGCTTAGTACATACTCACCAACTATTCTCACTTTCAGGGGCTCCAGCAAAATTGACCTTTACGCAGGTGCCATGAACGAGGCCCCTGTTTCTGGAGGTGTGGTTGGTCCAACGATTGCCTACATACTTGGACAGCAATATAGTGACATACGGTCTGGTGATCGATTCTGGCATGAGACGACCAATACAACTCTTGGCTTCACAACAAGTATGTTCATTGGGTTTCTTTGACAAAAGCTGACATTGTTCAATACTCAACATTTGAGTTTTTTATAATGAGTCACAATCGTCCTCATATATGCTTTGTTGCACATTAAAAGAATTACTTTTTACCGTAAAAGTTACAAAAAAGTCATCTATGTTTTCTGTAAAGATTGCACAGGATTGTTTGCAACCTGTATTTGATTATCTTTCAAACACATCAAGTCTTTGAATGGCATTTAGAGGTGATACACATAAGGAAGAGAATTTATGGATGGCAACTTCTTTATTACTCCTTCATCAAGGGAATGGATGCATTCAGTGATAATTTAAGTCCTGGCTTCAAGTTGTACATAACTATCGGCGATAATTACTGTAAAGTGTTGGCTTCCATTGTCAATTGCTTATCAATTCTCAGCGCCAATTATCTGTTGGCTTCCCTTGTTAAGTTTCCACCTTTTGTTACCTTATTACTTTGTTGTTCTTATAGGCACATATATATGCTCAATACCTCATAGCATTAATTCACCCTATGAAGGTGTAAGCATATACTCCGAAACGTTGTGTTCCTCATAATAAAGAAGTTGACATCCATAAATTCTCTGCCTTTCAAATACATGATCTATACTTTTTGGGGTCCTTCCATGTTACCGTTGGGGAATTGTGTGCTCTTGTTACACTCTTCATGAATGACAGATTTGTAAAACGGATGATCTGTTTTACCCGACTATTCGACACTCACACAGATCCATCATATGTCGGAAACAATTGGTCTCGGTTATCTGTTTCTTGTTAGTTAACAGATGAAACTTCCTTGGTGTTGTCGAGTTGATCCAGTTCTAAACAATTCGTCGAAAAGTAATTATCGAAAGTATTGAACTGTCGACCAAAATTAGGTGTTAATACAAAATGGAACAGAAAAATAGGTACTGATTGTAGCACGATCGCACGCCATTAGCCAAAGCATGAAGTCTGGCCTTTTGCAAAGTGCACAGTGGCCTCTTACCATCAACAGTGGGGAGCTTGGGGTGTTATCGAATCAGGGTTCATACGTTGTACTGTACCACTGTTGGGAGTATTTGCTTGTTTGTCAGAATTTAGGAAAGAACGGCCCCTCATTGCGACAAGCATTCAACATGTTATTTGACAGAACGATGCACATGTTCCCTATTTGTCCCATTCGATGCACGTTCAATATTGTCATACTGTTTTACAGGTCAACTAGCCGAGATCGACAAAATAACTCTGGCTCGTGTGATCTGTACCAACACCGGCATAACATCCATCCAGCCCGACGCCTTCAGCATCCCAGACGCAACGTGAGAATATTTTACTCTTACAGGATACGTGGTTGGTGTTGGTATTAAATTCACCTTTGCGTTGTGTTTCGTTCAAGACATACAAATTGCATATCCAGCGAACTATATTTTTGTGAGGCAATTTTGTCAGCATTTCAGCATGTTACCGTCTTCCCGAGGCAATGGAGTTAACTGACTTTAAAAGTAGGACTAGGTTGGAATTCCTGGGCTCGATCGTAGCGCCACCAGTGGGTATAACGAGTCATGTCTCTTCTATGCCTCTCCTATGGACCAATCAGATTCCACATCTCGTATCACTTGCATTTACTTCGAACAAAATGGCGGCACCCAGTCAAGACGATCTAATCGATAATCAAGATCTATATTGTGATAAAATGGTTTTTACGTCGCGAAGTGCATCAAATCACGTGAGCACTTTAATTAAAAACATGAAAAGATTTGGAAAATATCTGTTTGACAACGAGTTGGCCTGGCACATGCTTTGCAAATCCTGTATTCGACCGGAATCTGCATGACAGTTTACGAACCGGATTTCGATTACGTTGCGTGATTGTGATTGGACTATGCATAGACTAGTTAGTCCAGCCAAAATGTAACTCCATAATACCAGCCTAGTTCGGCAAGGGTGGAAACTGGACTTTTATAGCCAGTTATGTCACTTGCCTCGGGGAGATGGCATTTTACAGCAATCTAACTTCCCGAAAAATTATATTAGCACTAAGACTATTGAAGTATTTCCTTCCACAAAGTACTTCCTTACAAGTAATACACAAACTTGACAATTTTCTTCAGGACTTGCTTCATTATTGTAATATAGAAGCGATAATACATTCTGGATTACAAAATCTTTATATGCATTTGGAAGTTGGATATAATTACAAGGACTATTCTGGATAACAACTTCTTTACTTACCCAAAGTTTCAGGGCTTCTTCTCGCCCCTTCAAAGGTGAGGTGAGGTGAGGTGAGGTAGGGTTTAACGTCGCGTCCAAGATTATTACACTTATATAGCGACGTGCATGCACGTGTGTGTGTGGCTGCTTGTACTAGTCCGGACTGATGGCGATTTATAGTGCAAGCCCACTGAGATACCATGCCGCAGTTTAAATGATAACCCCACTCAGACACAGTATACTGACTCCGAGCCGACAACAACAAATACTATCTTTTATAGTCTTTTGATATGAACCCCGGATCTTCCACTCTCCGGGTGGACACTCTATCTCTAGACCACGGAGGCGGTCTATTACCGATTTGAAAATTGATGCATGTTGCTACTTTGTGCAGGACGTAGCGCCATCTTAAGATACATGAATATCAAGTTTCAGAGGATTTCACTGTCTACTACATCCTGGTTCTGATATACGCAACAGCTCCTTGACGAATTAATAACATACCAGGACAGACCCACAAGCAATTAATCACAGACCACAACCTGTAAATGCACGAGAAGCCCTCTTCGCTGATTACATACACTTTTCAATTTGTATACACATTGTATTCAAGGAGAAGGGACACACAGGCTGTACAAAGTACTGTCTCAGAAAATGATATAAAATCAAATCATCCAACTGTTAAGTGAATTTTAATTTCAAATTTGATACTCATGACCGACCTTCAACAAATGAGCTCGTCACACTCGGCTGAAAGCTAAACAATGGGATACGGGTACTAATGTATGAAGGGATACACAGGCCTATGTAATCAGTCGCTGGAATATATGATTCTACGTCATAACTCCTCTCTTAAGAACAGAATGAAACCTTTGTATAAAATGTTTTCAGAAAACTGTAGGTGTAGCGCACCGAGATACCGCGATCATATTTACAAACTATGCTGCTCAACACTTGTTAGGAGAAGTCTTTACAGAGAAGGGGCGGTAGGGTAGCCAAGTAGTTTAAGCGTTTGCTCGTCGCGCCGAACGACCAGGTTCGATTCCCCACTTGGGTACGGTGTGTGGAGCCCTTTTCTGCCAAGCCCCGTCGTGATATTGCTGAAATACCGCCGCTTCATAACGTGATATGTCAGGGAACATGACATATCAATACAACTGACTTTGTTTGAAAGTATCTGATTATAACTGGCTTCATTTGTATATGTATGTGTCATATTCTCCAACCCTGTTTTTCTCTCCTAAAGAAGTCGTTATCCATAATATTCTTCGTCATAATGTCTGGATTTCCTTTGGTGATAAATTCACTTAATCCGTAGAGTAAAGACATGGCTTACAGACACAAGTAGAAGGGTTTCTTACACGCCTGAGGGTGAGAAACCCATTTGAGATAATTGGTATGAACATATGTGTGAGATCGACTTCCAGGTCTGTGATTGGCTACTCCATAGTGATGACATACGATCAGATTATAAAAGATTATTATTCTTAAATTGTAATTTAAACCTTTCTCGTGCTTCAAGCAAATTCACCTAAGTCTATGTCGAAACATTATGGTTTAAGAGCCACCACTGCCTTCATAAATCCACAGATATAGCTGAAGCATTTTAGTAGAGGGTCATACGAGATATGCATGGTGAGCAGTTAGGCGAATGACGTTAGTTATGACTGTTGTGTTATGTATTAATGTGCCACTGTGATAATGGGATAAACAAAATATATGTCGATTGGAGGCCAACATGGTGTTATTTTAGGGTGTGTAAAAGCAATGCTGCACTCCTGCCCGTCAAACACCATTTATCTTACGACTCGTTGTTTCAAAACACATCTATACATTTTGATTTGTTTGTTTGTTTGTTTGTTTGTTTGTTGTTTAACGCCGGTCTCAGCCATATTCCAGCTATATGACGGTGGTTGGTAAATAATCGAGTTTGGGCCAGACAATCCTGTGATTATATCATGAGCATCGATCTACGCAATTGAGATACGATGACATGCATCAACCAAGTCAGCGAGCCTGACCACCCGATCCTGTTAGTCGCCTCTTACGACAAGCACGGGTTGCTGAACACCATTTATAACCCGGAATTTCACGGGTCCTATACGTTTTGAAAGAACTCGTTGTAGGATAAATGGTATTTGACGGACAGCAATCCCTATATAAATGATTTTGTTTTTCATTTCAGGTCTAACGCTGAAGTCAGCTGCAGCAGCCTTGGTGACATTAACTTCTCCGAGTTTTAATTGTCCTGATAGATTCTCAAGTGATGTTCACAATTCAGAATACTGACGAAATAAAAATATTTCAGCAATAAATAATCGTCTTTGTGTTATAAGGGTTTTCACTTTGTTGTGCACAGATTCTTTGTGGTCTCAATCGTGATACTGCTGGAGGTGAGGTAGGGAGAAATGGGTTTTTAACGGTGCTTTTATCAGGCGAACAATTGACTTGCCTTTGCATGTGTTTGTGACGGGTGCCACCGGTTGGGCAGGATACGCTCACCTTTTTGCGAGCACCTGGTATCATTACCATTTCATAGTGATTCATAAACACGTGCTCATGATATAGTCGGAATCGTACAATCGACTCAGCTTTATGCAGAGATTTCTACTGGACATGGAAAGCCCACTGAGATACCATGCCAGGGTTTAACATAGATACTTAACTCAGACACAGTATACTGACTCCGGGCCGGCCAGTCCTTGTATTGTCCATAAATGCTTAGTGCCAGAGTAACAACAAGTATCATATTTTATCATATTTGAATTTATTCAAAATAATTGACATAGTCTTCATTATTATCCCTTTCAGACCCGACCATTTTACATGGTCACGCACAAACACTAGAATGAAATTATCCAAATATGTTTCAAAAATTATTAGATCCATTTATGATTAATTTCATTGTGTAAAAATAAATGCCAAACAAATGGCTTTTCATGTGAATATAATCCAAAGGCCAAATGTCAGAACCAATGAAAGACCCTATCTTTAAATATCATTATTACGGATCAAAAGTGTTTGTTTTTTTTAGTTATTATACTGGGCGTTCAATAACTCCGCTAAACCCGCCACGTTACAATGGGAGAAAACGGGGCATAATCGGCGACATTTGCGTCATCAGATTTGCTAAAATAAAGATGCTAAAGGTATTTCATTGACATGGTCGTTTAATTCCATGTATTATGTATACGATTTCGTGAGCTGACTTTAAATATTAACGAAAATATCACTGTCGAAAATGGGGTGTGTCATTGTTTACATTTCACCGATGTGACGACCACTTTCGAGTCTCGAAACAGCTTAAATAATGTTTTCCTTCACTAAAAGTAACAATGGACGTTATTCCCGTGACGTATACATTGCAAGAGCATTCATGAAAATGCTAAGAAAAAACATAACAACCCGTTCTAGCGTTTTTCTATAGTAAATTCATGTCACGTCCCCCATGGTTGATCGGTTAGTGGAGGCGGCCATTGTACAGTCATTGCCCGGGTCAGTGTAGCGCCAGCGCAGCATACCCAGGGAACCGGGCTGAGGTTTAAACGACCTTTCGCGAACTTTGACCCACCAACAGGAAGTCGACATTAGCCCGTCAGACAGCAGCTTTCTCGACCTTTACAGCATTATTTTCAAATTCCAGTCCAGTCTACGCTCTAAAATATATATTGACAAAATCTTCGATGAAAAAGAAATTTCAGGAATGTCTAACAGATGGTCGAGTTTATATGGCAGTTCTTCCCACGGGTTATGGAAAATCTCCACAGCCCAAATGTTTATCTCACTGAAGCGAGAGACCTTTCGTTCGGAATGCCCCATGTTCACCTTTTCTGGCTTTCACTTTCGCCATTTCGTAAGCGATGCTCTGATTGGTCGGACGAAAGGTCGTTCTGTCGTGACGTGTAATGGGATGTCCTCTGATCTTTTTGTAGCAGTAGGGAGCACTTAGATTTCACATTGAATAGTTGACACCTTCAACGATACCAGCCTGTCGGCCCGGCAGCACTACACGCATCTTTTTTTAATCCCATACTCCCTGTTCTTTTCACATTTCATCATTCTTACTCGCAAAACCGCAAAGAATCCAAAACGCGGCAGTTGGGGTTGTCACTTGCCGCACAGACCACGTTTACCTGTCCTTAAAGCCGTCCACTGACTGCCTGTCAAACAACGGATACAAGTGAAAATTTTGCTTCTTGCTCTTAACTGTATCTCCGGCGACCACCCCTGCCCCTACTTTAGACACCTGGTCACTCAACATACACCTAATCTGACACAGTCAGGATTGTTGGGCTCATCATTAGCTCAGGGACCTTTCCTCCTCTACACGCAGCGCAGACAGCGAATGGCACTTCTCTCAGGAAGCGCTGCCTAGTCAAACCAACCCAGAACTTTTCGGAGAATATGAAGACTCCCCAACACTGCAGCCTTCTGCATTACCCAGATTGTCAGAAGGGCTGTATTCCTGGTAGCAACCCGGGTACTCTCCGAGTGTCTGTCAACAGATTGGGAACGTTAACGCGCGCGTGTGTGTGCGTACGCGTGTGTGCGTGTGTGTGCGTGTGCGCGTGTGTGTGTGTGTGTGTGTGTGTGTGTGTGTGTGTGAGAGAGAGAGAGAGAGAGAGAGAGAGAGAGAGAGAGAGATTGGGTTTAACGTCGCGTCCACGATTATTCACTTATATAGCGACGTGCATGCACGTGTGTTTGTGACTGCTTGTACTAGTTCGGACTAATGTTGATTTTATAGTGCTAGCACACTGAGATACCATGCCGCAGTTTAACATGAATACCCAACTAAGACACAGCTGTATACTTACTACGTGCATGGTGACTCTACTCTTCTTGTGAAAAATAACATCCATCTCTATAACATGGACTACCATCGAGAGAGACACGAACGAAGAATGAAATACATTTATTTAACAACAAATAAATGAACTAAAACTGACAATATCACACTAAATATACCTGTCACATTACAATTTCTCTCAAAATTTACACCCAATTCACATCTAAAACAGTTTTTGTCAAACAATGACTTATCCCAGATGTAGACATCGCATGACTGAAATAATCATTGGTGGTGAATCCATAGACGGGATTCAGGGGGTTAAACCAACCCCGCCTCCCTCTTCCCCTCCTTTTAAAATCCACAACCAGTAACAACTCCCCTCCCCACCGAGGGTAAAAACAGTTCGTTTGTGATATATATTTCAAAGAAAAAGGAATGTGATTGGTTCAACTTATTTAAACACCTCTCCCTACAAAGGACATTTAACAATAAATGAGAGTAAACGGTACATAAAATAATACATTTAGATTAATTGTACCTACTGTTGCAAATATTATGATGATATACAAGTCACACACAAATACACACATACATATATCCAGGGTATGAAACTCCCAAAATTTTCAGCCAGACCACAGGACTGGCTAGCTGAACTACTTGCCAGCCCTGACCAAAACCTGCCTGCCCACTATAATCATATGTTTCTCAGGATAATTTAATTAAAACTTTAAATCGAATTCATTGAACATGAAGTGATGCAAGAAAAGAAATAGCAAACACTTTTTAGGTCAGATTTGTATTTAATATCCTAGAATACATCATGTAAATAATGCTTATCATCGGGAAATATTTAGAATATTTTTACATATGAAATATAACCCGACCGTCGGGCAGGGGGATTTGAAAATCTGGCAGCCCGAGTTGAAATCAACCCGTCTCGGACGGCCCGGCAGGCAGGTATTTCGAACACTGATATATCGGTACATTAACAAACAGCATACCAGCATATCACACATACAAACAACTATTTAGATCTTAAATCTTTAGATTTTGCAATGAACAAATTGACAGATTGTACAATAGCAAGGTTAGTATCAGTAGATGTTGGAACACTTACATATAATACTGAATCCAAGTCGTATTCCTTTATATAGTAGTGCATATTATTCCGAAAAATGCAGTAGTTACGACATGAAAAGAAGTAATGTGTAGGATCCCGATAATGATATCCGCAGGAGCAGGTGGTAGACTCATGAATATGTCTAATAGTATGATATGTATGTGCATTTAAATCACTACGTCCTAATCTGAGGCGGCAATGGATACTTTGACAGAAACGGGTACCATACCCTAAGTTAAAGCCAAATATCCTTTACGATTTTCTGTTGTATAATGTAATGTATAATGTGGTCGAGAGTAATAACGTATTTTTATATTCCTTTAAAATGAGGACTCATTTAAGTTCAGGGCATACAGATAATGTGCACAGAGAAGATTCTCAACTTTTTATCACATATCTAGGACCAACTAGATATACACAAAGCTTTAGTTACTGACTTGGGCAAGAAATATGACAAGTATTAATGTTGAGTCGAACGTGGGTTGTTCCATTGTGACATGTAGGTGACGAAGGTTCTCACTTGTTTACATCATTGTGTAAATCCAAGTGACGTGTTGGGCGAAACTAAACACATCACTCTTTTCGCAATGACCAAAGTGAGACATGTTTTCAGCTACCACTTTTTTTCAATCATATTTTATGTCGAATATAAAACAATATTGTTCTCATAAAATAGTAGAGACAGAACTCCCAATTTGAAAAACAAAAATCAAATTAAGGTTATTCCCTTTGATTGAAAAATTATGAAATTCAAAAGGTTTTCAAATCTTTTATATTGTGATGCTTTCCCTTTATCAGCCAGAATACCACCAACGTTGTGTCACGAACAAGAACTAGATTACTCAACACTGGACCATATTTTATGCTGCCGAACCAAAGTACTCCAAATGAGAAACTATTAAGGCGTTTAGAGCTTTTCATGTGAAGATTCTCGTGTTTTAAACAAATGCAGATGGACCTTATCCCGTAAAGTTCACTACATAGGGGTTTTCAGTACGTTTTATCAGTGTGCGAAGGCATCTGCCACCGTAATACGGTCATCCCTCATCAGCAATGACCGGAAATATGTTTTTATGTTCAATATCTTGTCCTCGGTGAAGGACAATCTCACTGTTTCCAGAGGGGTAGATTCTCAGGTTGTAGTTCGGATACCAATAGCATCTCCAGATGTGACCATCTCACTCACCGTTATTGCCCGACATGTTTCACCAAGGTCAAGATATCTAACACATGTGTTCAGGTTCAATGATGTCCATGGACCAGACATCCTATTTGGAAACGATTGGTGGTACAGAATTGTTAGCAAAGCAAATGATTTTGCTTATGTCAATAGTGAAACAGTTTTTTTGGTTACTATGAAAGATGCGTGAGGAGTACACCCTGAACAATGAGCTCAGTCTTGT